GTGCAAATACTGTGGGTGACCTAAGACTTGTGACTTTTTTAAGAAGACAAAAAAGGCGCTAAAACGACTTCCGAATAAGAAGCTTCTTTCAGGATTATTGTATTCTAACGAGTGGTCATCTGATTAAATTAATTTAATTTTCTAAAACTTACCAACCTGTTATTCTTGAAGTGAAAGGGTTCACGTCTTGATGAGCGTTTTGGGTGCATTTCCTCCATTTCAATATCCATGATCAACTGGTCAGAGTCCGGTTCGAATTCGTCGATTTCACCAGGTGAAGCGGCTGTGAGGGAATGCCACCATTCCCCAAGTGCAGCACCGTTGAGACCCGCGCGATCGACAAACATACCCTACCCTTACCGTGTTTTCATGTAGATGGCTATCTGAAAAAAAAGAAGGCAGTTTTTTTTTGTAGTTTGTTAAATATTTGAGAAGAGAGATCTGACCATCAAGAGAAGAATCTGAATGTTGAGAAAAGGTACAAGAAGAGCCAGAGCCTATTATTAAGTATAAACAAAATCACTTATTTTCTGTACTTAGTGTTTGACACTACAACACCACTATACGAAACGTATCTAGACGTTGGATATTTTTTTACATTAAAAGTTTATCCGGCACTTGCTCGCACAATCACATAAAGATTAAAAAAAGAGGATTCAACTGAGGAAATCGCAGGAACATTGAATAAGGTGCTGCAGTCGCTTGATCGTCAGGTAGTTATGCCATAAGCAAGCAAACAAGGCGGAATAAGAAGGCCGCATATGACAAATAGTGACATTTGGGAAGGATTTTGTTACAGCGACTCAGAGACTGATCAGACAACATCAAAAAGCAGATAGACCCAAGTTTCTTTTAGGTATGTCATATAGAGCCTACCGGGCTGGAGCGACAGAGTTTGGACATTTGCCTGATCCACCAAGAAGTGCATTCTTGCCAGAAGGTCGGTTTACACCTTAGCAAATGATGCGCAATTCTGTGGAAAACTGAGGTTTTTAGGAAGCATGCGACCTGAAGATAGTCAAAGAGTACATCTTATTAACGCTTTTCGTCGCTACGGATATCTGCAAGCTGAGCTAGATCCACTTGGGCTACAACCTCAAAAGGAGTATGTTGCTTGGATTTTAAGCTTATCTTGTGAATATTAGCTGTAGAAGTGACTTGTCATTTG